TGCCAGAGGCCAGTCTACGTTGAGAGGAGGTGGCATCCAGATTACTTATGATCACTTATCCTCCTTGAGACTTTGCTGTGTTCCTTTTGCGGGCTTGTTATGCTGATGCCCCCAGCTAGTACTATCTCTTTTTTTCCTTTTCGAACCTATTTGTTTTTCCTGTGGACCTTCCTTCGTTGTGGTTGTATCATGTTGTGGCTTTATTTACAAAGCGGTGTGAGAAGCATTTTTCGGTACGTTGGAGGAGGTGGCGTTGTGAGCGGATGCGGAAGCGGATTCTCTGTTACCATCCCAGCGCCAAAGGTGGTCAGATTCCAGGAGAGCGGCGCCGCAGTGTTGAGCGCACGGCCCATGTCCATCGCGTTTGTTGTTCCTCCGATTCGCTGCGTGAATGGTGACCACGTGATTCCCCAGTGTGGTAGAGGTAAGGTGGGAGCCGACACGAGCATTACGGGAGGAACAACAGGGACCTGCAAGGGGCATGTGATTCCAGGGGCTCCCTGGATCCGAGGTGGAAGGTGGATTACATTTCAACTGTCACCATGCTGATCCCGGTGATGTGCGGTTATGATTTTACGAGAGAACATTCAAAGGGTGGTGATGTGATTATGGAGGAGCGGCAGCGGATGCTTGGTGCTTAATCGAGGGCGAAAAAATTCAGATTGGGGGTAAATTTTGCTTCCTGGGCACAACGCGGAGGTTGGCATGCGTTCTCAGATCATGGGGCAGGATCTGCGAAAGGTTGTCGGGAGGATCGCCGAAGGCCGGACCTGAGAGCGTCGAGGAACTGGTGGTTATACTGATCACCAGGAGCGACGCGCCGGATCTGGTGAAGAGATGTGAGAAGGCAACAGTTTTGTTGCGAGGTTTACCCGAAAGGGTGTGTCTGGAATCTGGAATCATGAGAATTGTTAAACGAGGGAGGGTGGCACTTGCTCTAATATGCTTGGTGGTAGCACACAGCAAGACAAAGATACTCTCTGCATCAATGCATATCTGCCAACCTAGAGTTGTTCATTCAGTCCAGCCACGCAGCCTCCCCGAATCTTCTCCCTGTTGTGGGATTGGCAAGTGATGATTAAACTAACCCTCCTTTCGGCAGCGAAGTTTAGTCCTACTCACACCGTCACACGTAGGCTAACTATTTGCACGACATCACTCTGATCAAGCTTTTAGTTGAACTTGGTATCGCTACCGTGCCGTCGGTTCAGCAGAGCGCAGATCAACCAAATCCAGAACATGTTCGCCGCCAACGATATCATCGCATCCACAGACGGCCGACTCGAGCCACAGAAAATAATCAGACAAGAAGAATTTGGCTGGAAGGAACGCGACGCCATAATCTCTAACGGCCACCGTTTGCAATGACCTGGAGGTGTTCGAAATGATCGGAGAAGATGTGAGTGAGATGTTGGAGGGCAGCCGGGTGTATAGAGATCATACTCCTCTTCTGTTTCCCCCCGCTCCATCCTTTGTTCAGAGTTGGGCTGTTTTGTGCAGGTGGCCGAAGCTGCTCTCTGCTTGCTTTGCTGAGTTACTCTCCCTCTCTAACTCCGGTCTTTTTTCTACCTCTCTTGATAAAGATTGACCTTTGGCCTTTTGTTCGGAAACTAGTCAGAGAAGCACGTGAACAAGGAGGGTGATGTAAACTCATAGCCGAAATTTTCATCATCGTCATCATCATGGTATCTTTACAACCGATCATGTGGGGATTGTCACATAACATAAGCACAAGCTGCAACGAACTCCAACACCCCTAGCTACTAGTACCCCTAGTGTGGGCCCCAGCAGCTAAGCTACATGACTGTCCTCAGCCCCTCCTCGGCCTTCTCCGCTCGCCGCCTCTTGTGAAAATGAACAAAACTGACCCTTATATGAAACTTCAACATAAAATGACCTCAATCTGAAAATATTTCATGAAATGGCCCTCTTTTGCATGACGCCCTAGCCCCGAGCGCCATGCAAAAGGGGCCATTTCGTGAAAAAAAATTCAGATTCGGGTCATTTTGTGTTGAAGTTTCAGTTAAGGGACAGTATTGTTCATTTTCACCCGCCTCTCCTCCACGGCCATGAGAATATTCGATCACGAGGTAAAGGTGATCTGCCGGCGACGTCAGGTCTCTGGCGTGGGATGCCTGTCAAAACCAACATATTATTAAGTGGGATATGTGGGTTTAGTGGGGTACCTTCCATTGCTATAGATTTCCTCTCCATTGCTCGTACAGGATGGATCATATGCTGCTATGCACCTTCCTCTACCTTCAGACTGCTGACCCAATGATGCCTGCGCCTGGACAACACACAAAAAACTCACTGTAATTGTTACTATTTGTTAGGAAATAAAGTGATCCTCATTCCCTCTATGAAATCAGGTCACATAATAATGGATTGTTTTATTGAATTACCAACAAGAAACTCGTGTCATTGGGAAAATTTCAGAAAACAAGGGGCAACGTGATCCAATTCTTGCCAGCATGGAGCAAATAGCAGACTCCAAAAAAAATTACTCGGATGGCCAGCATGGGGCATCGATCTTCTACTAGATGTGGGCGAAAAATTAACTACTTCCTCCGCTCGGGATTACTTATCGCTAAAATGGATGTAGTACACAGTTACGAGCAAACTGACGGTGAACATGGACGACGCTGCCATGATTAACCAGAAAACGAACGAACTTTCTCGAGATTATTAACAGAAAGTACACAAGTTTACTAGGAGCGTAACAATATTTCCCCAAATTCTTATTTAAGTCACAGTGCACTAATACAGCACACACAAAAATAAGCTACATTGATATTAAAATGCTTCTAGATTTCAGTGGGCTAGCTACACTGCTTGCATTCCGAAACTGAGAAGACAGTCTCTGCAGCGTAATTATATATCTGAATTTTGAATGTGAATATTAAAATGCTTCACGGAAACAGAAACAATAGCTGAGGCGACAGTGCAACTGCTTATCATCCCAGGACAATTACAGTTACTGATATAATTCTTCATTTTTTTAGCGTGATATAATTCTTAGTTACCATCACTTATTCCAAGTTCTCCAGGAACAATTCCTTCCAGTCTTTTGCTGCAAATCAAATAAAATCACTTGTTTGACATGCCCGCAACTTCTACTGCATTTTTGTACAACGTTTTGCTTGGGACCAACACAGATTTTTCAGCATAATTTTGAGGTCCGTTGCCTTCCTTTCCCTTACTTAATCTGGTACATTTGCATGCCTAATAGTAATATATTGACAAACCAATGCTTTGAGGCGCTCAAAGTATCCGCAAGATATATAATGATGTGAAACCATTCATTACCTCATAATCAGAGTTACTGTCAAAACAACTCTAGTCACAAGGAAGAAGAAACATCCACTACTATTGCTGTCAGGTGTTGATTTCCATGGGACGGACGGACGCAACGAGACTAGGAACAGCAAAGCCAGTCATGTGTCGTGAAGGGTTGTGCATAAGATCAGGAGGCTCATATTGATATGATCCAACAGGTGAGCCATCATCGTCAGTGCAAAGATGGTTACAGTAGTAATGTTCATGCTGCTGGCTTGCTTTGACCAGACTCCTCAAGGGGTCACCATCCCAGAACTGGCTCAAGAAATAGCTGAGGTTTGACCAGGTCCAGAACAACTGATTTGCTCTCTGGCACAAAACTGACTGACAAAAACATATATAACCAAACACTGACCGACATAGTAAACTTAATCTAGCAACAGAAATCTGCAAGTGCTCCAATCTTAAGAAGAGCAACCAGATGAACATAACACAACAAGCTTCAACAAAGCAGCACAAATCATAAAGAATCAACCAGACAAGGATGATAACACCAAGCAAACCATCCACTTGACAATAACGATTCAGTTTGAAAAGTGATAACCACTGACCACGATAGGTTTTTCTCTTCTCACAAACATAACCACTGACCCATGATGTTCACCGGCAGGTCAAAATGATGGACTTTTCACCATGCCACGCCTTGTTCTTCTCCAAAATTTTAGCATGTCACGCCAAATCCTGCAGGGAACAACAGAACGAACAGTTCAGTATATGAGACTCTGCAAGAAAGAAACAACAGAATGTGCAAGAAAGAAACTACAGAATACAGTTCAGTAGAGACACTGGCTCACAGGCAAAAATGGACTATACTACCAGAATGTGCCAAAAACAACAGAACCAACAATTCGGCACTGAAACTATCCCAGGCAAAAAAAATAACACTTGTAAAATGTGCAAGAAACAAAAGAACCAACAGTAACAAATTTGTATGCACAGTGCAGTGTGAGTTGAAAAGATTAAATTTTGTATAACATGCATTGACTTCCAAGGGATTCAACATACCCTTCCTTGTCACAATAATTTGCTTTGTCCTGCCCATACACTTGTGTGGATGACCTGCAGATTATAGTGCATTTTCATTCAAGTCTTCCAAGTTACTGCGCAGTATGCCATAATTGCAAGAAAACTAGAGCCAAAAGCAAAACAAAGGGAACAAACCTTCAGAAATAGTTGGTTGACCAGTTCTTGGATTGAAAATAAAGATAACACCATTGATTGGTTTGGCCGTCAGGTTACCCTCGGTTTTGTGAATGGTAACTCGATAGACATTTGTGTCATCCACAAACCATATGATTTGATTGCTGAATATCTCTCCGTACTGTAGTTCTGTGAAGACGGATATGGCTCGGTGGGCGGTGGGTTCAGATGAATACAACTGAAGACCCTTTCCTATTCTCTCCCTCGGCACATACAGAGCAGGATTTGACTGTCACAAGAGAAAATAAACAAGCATGTCATTTACTGTATTAAACAAGATATTTTTTTACTACAATAGAGAATAACTAGATTTGTTACAGTTAGCATGGTTATTACCTTCATGATCTTGTTCACTGCTTGCTGAAGGAGGGGCTTTGACCCGGGGAACCAATTACCAAAAGCAGAGAGCAAATTATAAGCTACTCCCTCCGTTCCATATTACTCGTCGCTGTTGTACTAAATCAGCGACAAGTAATATGGAACGGAGGGAGTAGATCAAGTCCAATCATCACCCCTGCAAGAAATATTAATCAACATTAAGCACAAAAGACTCAGGCAAGGCAAGAAATTGACAGTCAATGGACACTCAAAATCATACCAGTCAAAAAACGGTAGATGGACAAATTATCTGCCGTGTAGTCCATAAATTTTGCTCTTGCGTAATGTTCTATGTCGTGTGAATCGTAGTCTCTCCATCTTGGTTGCACATCAATCCAGTGCTTGTTACTGGCTTTCTGATTGAAGACATCCTTTGACTCAAAAACTAAGCTTGGTTTGGACATCTGCCACCTATGTGCAGCAAAAAGGACATCTGCGCATGAACTGTTCATCTTGCAACTCTTCCTTGGATGTATTGTCTCCTTCTGTACTATCTCAATCTCCAGCGCAGCCAACTCCTGACCCAGAAGTTGGCAAAGATCCATAGCAACACTTTCATGGACCTTGTGCCAAAGATGTGCACGGGAAATAGTTGGATAAATAGCAACTGCTTCTTCAGGTGTCACATATGGCCCATCTTTCAAGTAGTTGTGTTGCCTCTCTTGTTCTGCCTTCAGCCACAAATGAGTTAACCTTACAAGATTTTGGCGGCAGACTGTCTTGCCAACTGTAGCACCACGCCGGATACGCTCATGACATTTGTCCACCAATCAGCCTTGGACTTCACATAACGCTGCATCGTGTTCTCAATACGGGACCTTCCGCAACGATGGTGCTTTGCCAAGGCGGCTTTGAAGTGCTCAGAATCTCACAACTGGGACGTCAGCATAAGCCGGAAGTGAGGTCAATGCTGAAGGTCGCCAGCATATCCATTGAAACTAGGTGTAGGCCTAAAATCTCATAATCCACCAAACATCTTTGACTATCTCCTCAAGACCACAATTACCTAACTGAATCCAGCTAAAATCTCATAATCCATCGTGAAATTGGGTCCAATATCATAATCACCTAACTAAATCCAAATTCCTCAAAAATTAATTAAAAAACTGTTTATCCACCAATAAATAATCAAATCTCATAATCCACCAAACATTTTTTACTATCTCCTCAACATCACAATCAACTAATAAAATCGATCAAAAACTCATAATCCATCATAAAATTTGCTTCAAGATCAAAATCACCTAACTAAATCCAAATTATTTCAAGATTAACTAAAAAATATGTTTATCCACCAATATAATAGTAGCCATGCTCATACTAGACTTAAAATCTCATAATCCACCGAAGATCTTTAACTATCTCCTCAAGATCACAATCTCCAAACTAAATCCACCAAAAACACGTAATTCGTCGTCAAATTTTCTTCAAGATCACAATCACATAAGCAAATCCAAATTCTTCCAAGATTTATTGAAGATATGTTAATCTACCAATATAAAAGTAGGTGTGCCCATACTAACCTAAAATCACATAATACACCAAACATCTTTGGCTGTCTGCTCAATAGCACAATCACCTAATTAAATCCACCTACAATCTTATAATCCACCATGAAATTTAGTTGAAGATCACAATCACCTAACAAAATCTAAATTGTTCCAAGATTAACTAAATATTTGTTTATCCAATAATACAATAATCATCATGCTCACCTATTAGCCCTAAAAACTCATAATCCACCTAACATCTTCTCAAGATTATAATCACCTACCTAAATCAACCTAAAATTTTGTAATTCACCGTGCATTTTTCTTCAAAATCACAAGCACCTAACTGAATATAAATTGTTGCAAAATTGCTTGAAGATTTGTTTATTCGGTAATATAATAATCACCATGCTCACCTAATAGGCTTAAAATCTCATAATCTACTAAACATCTTTGACTATCTTCTCATGATCACAATCACCTAACTAAATCCACCTAAAATCTCATTCACCGATAAATCTGCTTCAAGATTACAATCACGTAACTAAAACCAATGTGTTCCAAAATTAATTGAAGATTTGTCTATCCACCAATATAATGATCACCATGCTCAAGTACTAGACCTAAAATCTCATAATCCACCGAACACAATCACCTAACTAAATCCAAGTGTTCCAAGATTAATTTAAGTTATGTTTATCCATCAATATAATAATCACAATGCTCACGTACTAGACCTACAATCTCATTGTCCACAGAATATTTTAGACAACTCCTCCAGACCACAATCACCTAACTAAATCCACCAAAAACTTATAATCCATCATCAAATTTGCTTCAAGATCAATAAAAGGGCAACCTGGTGCATGTAGCTCCCGCTTGCGCAGGGTCCAGGGAAGGGTCCGACCACTTTGGGTCTATAGTACGCAGCCTTTCCCTACATTTCTGTAAGAGGCTGTTTCCAGGACTTGAACCCATGACCTCATGGTCACAAGGCAGCAGCTTTACCACTGCGCGAAGGCTCCCCTTCTGCTTCAAGATCAATCACCTGACTAAATCCAAAATGATCCAAATTATTTGAATATATGTTTATCCACCAATATAATAGTAGTCATGCTCATACTAGACCTAAAATGTCATAATCCATCAACCATCTTTGACTATCTCCCCAAGATCACAATCACGTAACTAAATCCACCTAAAATATCATAATTCACTAACAAATTTGCTTAAAGATCACAATGTCCTAACTAAATCAAAACGTTCCAAGATTAACTGGAGATATGTTTATAATCGTCATTCTCACGTATTAAATCCAAAATCTCATAATCCACCATGAAATTGGGTTCGAGATCACATTCACCTAACTAAATCCAAATTGTTTCAGGATTAATTAAATCAAATCTCAAAAACTGTTTATCCTCCAACAAAATAATCAAACCTCATAATCCACCAAACATTTTTTACTATCTCCTCAAGATCACAATCACCTAATTAAGTCCATCAAAAACTCATAATCTATCGTCGAATTTGCTCCAAGATCAAAATCACGTAAGTAAATCCAAATTATTTCAAGATTAATTGAAAATATGTTTATCCACCAATATAATAGTAGTCACGCTCATACTAGACCTAAAATCTCATAATCCACCTAACATCTTTGACTATCTCCTCAGGATTACAATCATCTAAGTAGATCCACCAAAAACTCATAATCCATCGTCAAATTTTCTTAAAGATGACAATCACCTAACTAAATCCAAATTGTTCCAAGAATAACAAAAGATATGTTTATCAACCCATATAATATAGCCATGCTCATACTAGACTTATAATCTCATAATCCATCGAACATCTTTAACTATCTCCTAAAGATCACAATCACCGAACTAAATCCACCAAAAACTCATAATCCACCAAATATCTTTGACTATCTCTTAACTAAATCCAAAGTGTTCCAAAATTAATTGAAAATCTGTTTATCCACCAAAATAATCACCATTCTACTAGACCTAAAATCTCATAATCCACCGAACATTTTTGACCATCTCCTCAAAATCACAACCATGTACTTAAATCCATCAAAACTCATAATCCATCGTCAAATTTGCTTCAAGATCACAATCACTTTACTAAATCCAAAAAATCCAAGATTAATTGAAAGTATGTTTATCAACCACTATAGTACTAGTCAAGCTCATGCTAGTCCTAAAACCTCATAATCCACCGAACATCTTTGTCTATCTACTCGAGATCACAATCACCTAACTAAATCCATCAAAACCTCATAATCCATCATCAAATTTGCTTCAAGATGGCAATCATCTAAATAAATCCAAATTGTCCCAAGATTAACTGAAGATATGTTTTACTTATTCATATAATAGCAGACATGCTTATATTATAACTAAGATCACATTATTCATGGAACAACTTTGATTATCTTCTCAAGATGAGAATCACCTAACTAAATCTAGGCTAAGATATCATAATCCATCGTGAAATTTGGTTTAAAAATCACAATCACCTAACTAAATCCAAAGTGCTCCAAGATTTATTGAAGATCTGTTTATCCACCAATACAATAATCACCATTCTCACGTACTAGACCTAAAATCTCATAATTCGCCAAACATTTTCGAATATCTCCTCAAGATCACAATCACCTAATTAAATCCATCAAAAACTCATGATACATTGTCAAATTTGTTTCAAGATCAAAATCACATGACTAAATCCTAATTATTCCAAGATTTTTGAAAATATGTTTATCCACCAATATAGGGCCTGTTTGGGAATGCTCCACTTCACCAAAATCAGTTTTGCTCCACTAAATTCACTTTGGAGCAGTTTCATCCAGAAGTTGTAGCACTACAAAAGAGAATGTTTGGCTTCCATCTAGCTCCAGCTTCAAGAATGGGAAATTTGGTGGAAAGGGTCTACTTGATTGGTTGAGGGGGGACAAACGACAAAGGGGTATCCACTTACTAGTGGTAGTGGTGGGTAATTTCCACCCAACTCCAGCTTCTAGAGTTTTCTGAAGCACCCCCTGAAGAGCTTCATAAAAACTAGGAGTTGTACCCCATATTCTAGTTTTCTTGCGGAGCGGCATATCGTGGAGCTATCCCGTTTGGCTTATGTTTTTCGAAGCGGAGCTGAATTCTAAGGAGCAGAGCAGTCCCAAACAGGCTCATAATTGTAGTGATGCTCACTAGACCTAAAATCTCATAATCCACAGAACATCTTTGACTAAAAACTCATAATCCATCGTCAAATTTGCTTCAAGATGACAATCACCTAACTAAAATCCAGATTGTTCCACGGTTAACGAAAGATATGTTAATCAACCAATATAATATAGCCATGCTCATACTAGACTTAAAATCTCATAATCCACCGAACATCTTTAACTATCTCCTCAAGATCACAATCACCAAACTAAATCCACCAAGAACACATAATCCACCGAACCTCTTTGAATATCTTCTCAAAACCACAAAGACCTAACTAAATCCACTAAAAACTCATAAACCATCATCAAATTTGCTTCAAGATGATAATCACCTAACTAAATCCAAGTTGTTCCAATATTAATTGAAGATATGTTTATCGACCAACATAAAAGTAGTCATGCTCATACAAACCCTAAAATCTCATAATCCACTGAACATCTTTGACTATCTCCTCAAAATCACAGCGACCTAACTAAATCCACTAAAAACTCATAAACCATTGTCAAATTTGTTTCAAGATGATAATCACCAAACTAAATCGAAGTTCTTTTTCAACATTAATTAAAGATATGTTTATCCACCAACATAAATAGTAGGCATGCTCATAATCCACTGAACATATTTGACTATCTCCTCAAGATCACAATCGCCTAACTAAATCCACCGGCAAATTTGCTTCAAGATCACAATGACCTACCTAAATTCAAATTATTTCAAGATTAACTGAAAATATGATTATCCACCAATATAATAGTAGTCATGCTCATACTAGACCCAAAACTTCATAATCCACCGAACAGCTTTGACTATCTCCACATGATC